TCTTTGTCTTCCGAATGGGTCAGTGTGAGTCCTTCTCTTGATGTTTCATTCAGCTTTTATGCTTTTCTGAGAAGCCTGCTTAGTGTCTGTGTTTCACTGTTTTCTGCGTGGTATTGTCCTAGTGTTGCTTTATCAGATGATAACAAAAACAATTGCTGTATTTTTGTTTGGCTCCAAATTAGAACCTCAAGTAATAGGAGAGACTTGCTGCAGAGGGGAAAAGGTGATAGGGAGAGAGGCTAGAGCATCATTTATATTTGCTAACATTTTTTAAAGAACTCAAGTGTGCCTTATTAAAGACTGATTCATATATCAGGGCAAGCTAAACAGTGCTTTTGAATTCTTAAAAGTTTGTTGTGTCTTAAAAGTGTTGCAATGGAGCCTGCTAAAGTGATGGTAGAGTTTTTGTGTTTTCTAAATAGAGATGCATCATTGAAAGGGAACAGGGATCTTTAAGATCATTTTAAAAACAAGTTAGTATGCAAGAGAAAAGTCTTACAATACACCTGTTTGGTAATAGTAGCTTAGCATTACTTAGCTCAGTAATGCTACTGAGATAAACAATATGTATGATCATATTTACCCAAATCCTAAATTATTGCATCATTATTTAGAGAGTAGATTTTCCCATTTTAATTAAATCATTCCAGTATGGATTTATATTAGACCTCTGCTAATCATATCTTCTTATCCAAAGATATATACATTAAAGCAGCATGAAAATATAAATAAATGTTTCATAATTTTCTGGGTGGAAAACAAATATTTCACTCAGTTACACTTTTTATATATAACGATTTTCTAAGAAAGAGAATATTCAAACAATGGTATGATTTGTGACATCATCTTTAAGAAAACTTTTTCTTTAGCATACAAGAAAGTTTTACATATGATTTGAAAATGGACTCTTTGTTAAATAAATTTGCACTCTTTGTTAAATAAATTTAAATTAGTTGAATTATTTTACACCACTATTATCTTTGTTTATTAAAAGCAAGTAGTTAAAAGAAACAATTTGAGCCATACACAGTAAAAATATATCACACCAAAATGTAAAATAGTAGTGATGAATTAGTATTATTGATCAGACTAAATATTTAATTGATGTTCTCATTTAAATTATTTTCTTTTTATATGTATACCTAAAATATTTCTCTGAATAAATGGATAAATGTGTTTTAAACATCTAACAATCACACAATACATAGGTGCAAGAGAATCCTTGTAATACTTTAGTTACCTGAATCTTCAGAATCAAGTATGGTTTAGCAACCATACAGTTACTAAAATTATATTTTAATGTTCAGATTTATTTTCACATTGACATGAAAGATTGTTGGTGCTTAAGTGTGTAAAATATATAAAAAGCACCTCCTATGTTTTAAAACAATGTCCTTATTTTCTCTGGGAATTTCAATTTCTTTGAATGAATTTGAAACAGTAAAATTCATATCTGAAAATTTTATATGTATACACAAACATAGTATAGACAGTCAGCAAAAGTCTTCATATAAATCATATTTTTTTCTCAAAAAGTAGCTTAATCAGCAACATTTCAGGGATCTGAGAAAAAAAATCTTCATTTTCATTCACAAGTTCCTTAAAGATCAGTGTTTTTAAAGCATTAATGATCAATAATTTCTGATCCACAATTATTAGATAGCTTCTTTATGAATAGCTGCTTGAGTTATTGCCACTTTACTAGATTTGAACAGACACTGTCAGGTCTGAGAAATTTGTATGTAACATGTACTGTATAGTGCTGTTACTCTATGCAACTGTATGTAACACATGAACTGATTTCAGAAATAGAAAACAGTATTTACAACTCAAGTGCCAATTTCAATATAAACAAAAATACAAATATCAAAATGATAAGCAACTCAAGATGGTTTCTCAATTAAATTAAAAGGATTTCCTGAATTTTCTTTTTGATATAAAGATATCTTAAAGTATTTTTTCCAAACTGGGGCCCACTGAAAGTGTTTGTAGGTAGCTGAGGAAACTGGAGGGGAGGTATAAGAGTTGCGTAATTTCCTTCATCCATCAGCAAGCTATTAACCACTGAAATGTTTGCTATTTGAGAATTTAGAAGTTTGGGGGACTTCCGGTTTGTCGGCTTCGCTAGCGGCAGGGATTTGCGATCCTGTGCGATCCCTGCCGCGCTAGCCGCTTTGGTGTCTCCGATCCGCGGATCTGGAGGCTGGGGCTGCCACGAAGAGGCAGCCGAAGATAAAGGGGAGCTGGTGAGGGGTTTGGGGGTGCTGCAGACCCCCTTCCCAGCCGGCATAACCCCTTTTTTCTCAAGGCAGTCGAGCGGCGGTCTGCAATGGCCGCCTCAAAGAAGCCGGCAGCTGGGCAAGATTGAGCAGGAGGAAGAGAGGAGAAAGTTGTCAAGAGAAAGTTTTTTTGGCTGACCCAGGATTTTAAGAGGCGTTTAATCCTGAGAACTATGGTTTTTTGAACAACACTTCGTTTCCAGAGGAGGATTACAAGCGGCAAAATTGAGCGCTGAAAGGGAAAGTTCACTCTCCTTCCTTATGGAATCAACAAATGGCCATTGAGAAACCTGTTGTTTTTTTATAAAAGGTAAAAACTTGGCTTCTTGTTTTAAGTGGGAAGGAAGAGGACAATATATATATATATATATATATATATATTTAATTAAGATTTTGTTGGAGGGGATGCCTTGAAGATTTTGAGACCAGAAATTAATTGCAATAAGGCTTTAAAGTATAGATTGGAGGTTTTTTCCTTTCCCTTTGATACCTCCCCAGGAAGAGAAAGTGAGAACTTTGTGTATTGTTTGGACTGATTGACTCTCTCTGGATTTTTGGGGAATTGCTCTAATTTTTGAAACATTTTGGTTGCTTTAAGAAGAAGAATAAAGAATGGCTTTATCTGTTGATGAACTTAGAGAATATGAAGAAAGAAAGGACGCTGTGAAAGAAGCCTTTCTCTTTTTAGAAATGGCGCTTGTTAATTATCAAATACAACAACAGATGAAGGAAATGGAAGGAGAAGAAGAAGAAGAAGAAGAAGACGCCATCTTCAATGAATCTAAAAATTTAGTTAAGAGAGAACGGAGAAAGAAAGGAAGGAAAATGAAGGATTTAAGACTTAAAAAAATACTTAAGAAAGGAAAAAATAAGATGCAAAACCAACTCAATGTTAATGTTATTGAGCAAAAGGAGAAAGGAATACAACAGAGAGGGGAAGCTAAAGGGGGAGGGAAAAAGGTTAGGTGGGATAAGAAAGGAAGGGAAAAGGGAGGGAAAAGCCACAAAGGTATAAAACAAGATGGGGAAAAAGGAATTTTGTTTAGGGATAAAGGGTAATGTATTTTTTTTTAAAAAAAGAAGATTCTGCAAGGTACATAAGATGGTACTGTAGTATTCGTATTAGAAATAGAAAACTAGAATGTTATAAGAATTAACAAAAGATTAAAATGTTGAAATGTTTAGTAATGATAGATTTTAAAATTTAATAAAAGATTAAAAGGAATGTTTAAAATATTGAGTTTAATTAAAAAGTTTAATTTACTGTTGTTTTGATCTTATTATAAACTCATTATTGTAGCACTTGTTTCTTGAAATAGATAATTGGAATGTTATAAGATTTAAAATTTAGATTTATTATTTAATTATATTAATTATTATGGATTTATTATTTTCTCTCTTTAGAGGTTAGTAGGTTGAATGTACTAAGCAGAATCAGATTGGGAATTTTAAATATTTTTAGGGGGAGGATAGAAAGGCATCATACCTTGATCAGTGATTTCAGGAGAAATTCTTTTTTTTTTTTTTATTTGCTCTAGGGAATGAGATAAATGGATAATTTGGAGAATGGACAAAAAATATAAATATAATGATTTAAATTAAAATGAATTAAATAAAATAGAAATAAGGAGAGTGAAAAGCGGGGAGAAGTTATATAGAAGATATAGAATGGTAAATAAGATAGGTAATGGTATATAAGATGAGCACGAATTTAATTGAAGTCCATACAAAGAGAGGTAATCTGGGGCCAAACTACTTTCTTAAAAGAAGTTTTTATGTTTTCGTGTTTTGTGTGTCTATGTTTTCTTTGAGAATTAATAAAACCTCGGAGGAATGTTGGATGAGAATAATGTTAAACAAGACAGAGAGGAATGAAGATGATATTGAAATGGTGAAAAACAGAATGATGTTGTATAAAATAATATTTTATTTGACTTGTAAAGCTAATAATGGAGGTTTTATGTATTTAAAGGTTAACGATGGTTTGTTTGTCTTCAAAATCAATAAAATTTGTTTCAAAAAAAAAAAATTGTCAAAACCCAAGAAGCTTTGAAGTTGCTTACATGTTTTGGAGGATTGCCAGTCTAGCACCACTCTCACTTTTCCAGGGTCCATCTCAATTCCCTGGTTGAATATTTGGTAGCCTAGGTAATCCCGTGACTCTTTGTGGAATTCACATTTTGACAGTTTTACATATAACTTGGTGTCTAAAAGTTTTTTCAGCACTTGTCTGACCAATTTGACATGTTCTTCGATGGTTTCACTGAATATAAGAATGTCACCAGATAGACGAGGACCCCTTTGTATAGGTGTGGATTCACTTCATTGATGAGTTGCATAAATACTCAGGGGGCTCCTGGAGCCCAAAAGGCATGACTCAGAATTGGAAATTACCCAAAAAGGGCAGTTGAAGGCAGTTTTCCATTCATTTCCCTCCTTTATGCAGACTCAGTAGTAAGCTTCTCTCAGATCTAATTTGGTGAAGACCTTGCCCTTTGACAGGTAGTTTAATAAGTCCTTCATGAGGGGGAGGGGTTACATGTTTTTTATGCACATGGTGTTCACACCCCTAAAATCAACACATAATCTCAAGCTGCCATCTTTCTTTTCTTTGAACAGCATTGGGGAGGCCAACTAGATTTGGCAGGTTCAATGAAACCTCTGTCCAAATTGTTATCGATGTATTTTCTCAAATCAGTCATTTCAGCTAGTGTCATGGAATACATCTTTGGTTTTGGCAGTTTTGCCCTGGGTTCTAACTCTATGGCACAATCAGTGGCTCGATGGAGAGGTAAAACATTGTATTCCTCTTCACTGAACACTTCAGCCAAGTCTCTATATTGTTTGGAGACTTGGGGCTCACCTGGAGGAGAGTCTGAGGCGGTAGCTGCTGCTTCAGGTTGGGGATCTCTGTTGGGTGGCAGTTTCTTTGTGGGAGGAAGGGGGGGCAGTGGACCAACTCCAATTATGATTTTTCGGTATCCATCCTCCAACTTGATGGTAGTGGCCCATTTATCTAGTCAAGCAAGTCCCAATATGACAGATTTTGACATCTTTGGAGCCACTACAAAACATATGAGTTCACGGTGACTGCCAATCTCTAGTTTGATTAACTCTGTCATTTGGGTGGCCAGGATTTCCCCCAATTAAAGTCCCATCTACTTGTTCAAACCTGATTGGGCTTTTCAGGTTTTTTTGCTTTTATTCCTAATTGTTCAACGATGGGGAGCCCAATAAGGCATCTAGAACACCTGTTGTCTATTACGGCTTCTATCTCCCCTGCCTCTCCTGTGTTAGGTACCACCAACTTTATTTTGACTGTAAAAGGTGGTGATGGCAGCACTCACCATAGGAACATCTTCATTGGCTTCTCGGGGGAGAATTTCTCAGGTTGGAAATTCATCGCTCCCTTCTGCGTCCTTCTACGCTGTGTGTAGCAAACCGGTTAGTGTCTAGAGGCTTCCATTGATTTTTCCGACCCCTGGCAGCTGTACTAGGCCTTGGTTGTAGAGCTTGTGGAACAGGTGCAAGATCCAAACAGTGTGCTGCTCTACTCTCCTGACCACAACAATAGCACTTTATCATTCTTGTGGGCTGGGTAGGAGCAGTTTCAGCAGGTCTGGTCAGAGGCCACCTGGCCACAGCTCTCCTAGGAGGGTCTTCAGGTAGGGTTTTTTCCTGTGGATTGATTGCCCTGTCTTGCCTGAGGGACATTGCATACCGCTCTTGGAAGGTCTCTGGTATCCCTGTAATATTACAGCCTTTTCTTTCTTTCTTTTTTTACTTCTGGGTCAATAGCATTCTTGAAATAATGAAACAAGTGTTTTCTCAGGCCAGGCCATGAGATGGCTTGCAAAACTTCTAAAGTCCCATACAAAATCTCTTAAGAGTCACTTGCCTTGTTTCATATCCATCAATTTGTCTTCATTCTCCCCAATCCTATCAGGACTCTCAAATCTAAACCTAAGGATTTGCAGGAAAGCATTGACATCATCAAGTTCTGGAGTTTGTTCATAGTGCAATTGGCCCACCCAATCAGAAGCATCCCCCTCATTCATTCCATTGGTGATTGCACCACCAGATCGCAACCTGTTACATATTGGACTCCAAAACGATCTATGTGGGACCAGATCTGAGTAAGAAAATAAGCAAAATGTTCACAGTTTCCATAAAATGTTGCTTTAAAAGCCATTTGGTGTGGCCATTTGGTCTGATCCCAGTGTTCCCTCACTTCTCCATTCTGTCTCTCGGGCAGTCTGTAGAGGACTTGAGAAAGAGAGGCATTCAGGCAGTGGGCTAAGCTGGAATGTATGGAGCCTGCTGGCAGGATTGCTCCAAGGGGGGGGGGGGGTTTGAATTGGCACTTGCTGTGAAGAGGCCGTTTGTTGAATTTTTCTCTGTGCTTCGGGGGTGGTAGCTGCCATCTGCTGCCTGTGCAGATTCCTTTGCTGATAAGGGATCAATCCCTCTCTTTGGGGCCAGGGTGCTCCTGAACCAGGTGGTGCAACTTGTGCTGGCATCCACTGGCATTGGACCCACCCTTGACCAGGATAAAATCCCCACTCTGGAGGAATATTCTCTGCCGGGGGTAATCTCCTTTCGGGTTGTGGAGGGGGAAGGCTTGGGGTTTGTAACGCACCCAATGTCGGCTGCATCTGCCGTCTCTCCCTTGAAACCTGATCCTGATGGGCTGGGATGCTTTGCAGGCCATCTCCAACTGATGCCATAGTGAGGCCCCCTCCTCCTCTCAGACTAGGAAAAGTAAAGTGGGTTGTGTTAGGATGCAGCTCATTTGGAGAGGTTGTGGCTGTGAGGCATAGCTTTCCACCTTAAGTTGTTGGAGTTGTCCTGGGATTCTTGCCAATGACTGGCTTTGGGATAGAGGCCACCAGTTGCAATCTTTGGTGGTGTCTGATCCCAATGTTCCCTCACTTCTCCATTCTGTCTCTCAGGCAGTCTGTAAAGGACTTGAGAAAGAGAGGCGTTCAGGCAGCTTCTCCTCCAGTCTCATTTTTAGATCTTTGCTGAGTCTTCGCACTGCTCCATATTGGAATCAGTTCTGGGGCTCAGCATTCCTGACAGCCCCCTTTTGGGGTGCTGGAGTTCATTAGCGTTTCAAGATAACGTCAGTGTTCCAGCAAATCTCCATTCCAATCAGTAACTTTGAGACAAGCATAATCTCAAAAATACCTTTATTAGAATAGCACCTGGCACATCTGTGGAATCTCAAAACTAAAAGTTTCCTGGACTACCCACAATGTCCCAAACTACAATCCATCCCCTTTTCACTGATTATCACATTACATGGACCAATCACGATCCATCCCAGTGTAAGTTCCTTTTTCCATCCTGTGCCAACTTAATAACCTTGAACTAAGAAAAGAATTTTATTTGGTCTACTTAGAACTACTCAATTGAATCACCCCCTCCCACTCTCTAAGGCTATGTGGCAGTGTGGAATATGGCTTCCAAAGCTGACAGGGGGTTTATAGAGTGGTATTAGTACCTCACTTTATCTTAATTGTATCCCTCTGTTAATGCAATTTAGGATTGCATCGGCTTTTTTTGGCTGCAAACTGTTAGCTCATATATAACTGGTTGTCCACTAAGACTACATGATCCCTCTCACAGTTACTGCTATTAAGCTTGGTTTCATTCAGTCTATATGTGTACTTTTGGTTTTTCTTGCCTAAGTGTAAGACTTTACTTTTCTCTGCATTGAATTTCATTTTGTTAGATAGGGCCCAGTGTTAAAGTCTGTCAAGATCCATCTGTATGTTGAGCTTATATTCTAAGGCAGGGGTATCAAACTCAAGATCTGCTGATCGGATCTGGACCACGGGGTGCTTAAATCCAGCCCATGGGGCTGGCCTGAAAATATCAGGGCCTGCTATGCCTCTGGCAGCTAAAATGGGTATGTGCGGCCTCCTAAACTTTATTTCCACCCTCCACGGCCTCCTGCAGCACTCTGCTGGCCAAAACCAGGCCGAAAACCAGGACAAAAAATGGGATGAAAATGAGTCAGAAATGGGCCCAAAACAGGCTGAAAATGGGCTCAAATTGGGCTGAAAAACAGGCTGAAAACAGCTGGAAAATGGGCCAAAAGCGATCTCAAAATGGGCCAAAAAATGGGCCCACAATGAGCTGAAAACAGGCCCAAAACAATCTAAAAAGGCTGGAAAGTGGGCCAAAAAACAGGCTGAAAATGGCTGAAAAGTGCTGCAGGGGGCCATGGAGGGTCAAAATGAAGCACATGGGGGCTGCATGCAGACTCCCATGCCCTGTTTTGGCTGGCAGGGTGCTAATTATTGGCCAGGAACATGTTTATTAATTTAGAAAACATTTCTCACTGGAACGTATTGTGTATCTTTCATGTACTTGCTGATGGATTTACTTATAAAATTAAGTAGTAGAAAGCAAAGAGGAAATTACAGAATTAGCTATTGGATCCAGAAATGTGCACAAAAGTGAATCAAGTATTATTGCCATAAAGTAGGATGTTATGGTATCATGTTAACAGTCCACAAAACAAACTCACATCTATAGTTTTTGAAGTGGGAAAATATACAATAGTATGAATAACTTGGTAAACAACAAAGACTCTTAGATTGCTTGGCTTAAAGATTACATGTGCTGGAAAATGCAGATTACTTAGCATTTATTTTTAGAATATGTGGTTGCAATCTGGAAACATACCTTATTAGCTCGATACCCATGCTTTGCTATGAAACTATGTGGTCAGGCTTAGTTTTTGGGGAGGAAAATAAGGGGGGGAAATTCTGCCTCTGCCTACCAGCATCCATTGGGTTTCATCTGGCTAGTGTCCTGTCAGTGTGTGAGAGAGTTGAGTGCTGTTTAGAAAGTGAAATGGTATTTGCTGTGTGAGCAAGAAAGAAACAGCAAGGAGCCTGGGTGTGGCTTAGGTCAACTGTTCTGTACTAAAGCTGCTTTGTGCTGTGAAACTAAAACTGAAACTCCTCTCCTCTGCTTGTGTTTTGCATCTGATTTCTTTTCAGGTGGGGAGGGCGAGTAGAAGTCCTTAGCATCAGAGTGTGTTAATAATAATATACGAAATACTAATGCTCTGATGGTCATTTTGAAAAATCCTTTCTTAGTGAGCACCTAGAAGCCAAGAGGAACATAAGTGCCAAATTGCAAGTTTGTATTCTGGAGATTTTGTGATGATGCGGGAGTGGTATTTCGCTTTTATATATATGGATTCAAATATAATTTAAATATTATAAAACTGCTCCTGAAATTGGATACAAAGCAGCTAAGTCTTCTGGACAATTCTGCCTGTGTCCTTCCCACATTCTACCACTATCAACAAGAATTTTGGCACACTGAAAAACATACAGAGATGAACAGAGCAACATCTCTAGTTGTTTAACATTTTAAGTAATTCTCAACAAATACCTGATATGCACTATTTTTATTAAGGGATGAAACCTAGCCTGCTATATGACTTAGTTTCCAAAAGAGCCTATTTAGAATCAAGTTGCTAATCTCATCTCATCTCCTCTTTTTAGTTCAGTGCTTCTAATAGCAATAATTGTGAAATATACTAGAATTCCTTTAACAAATTCCACAAAACAATCAAAATTGCCAGAAGGTAACTGGGGGAAAAACATAAGAATGCATGGACTGAACTATCAGTTGGCTTTGGTTTTTCGGATTAGATTTTTTATGATTAAGAGCATTCTGTCATGAACATAATAAATGCCAGACAAGAGACAAATGGTTTGGTTCTCTAGCTGGAGAATTACTTTAGAGCCAAGAGAGGTCTAAGCATTGTAAACCATCCTTCAGTTGTCATGTTGGTGCTTTATAATGTAGTATGTCAACAGCAATAATGGCAAAAGCACCCCAGTCCTTAAAAGTGTATAGCTGTAGAAATATATTCAGTTCTTGATAAACATTGCACATATTCAAATACATAGAATTTAAATATATTCAAATAAGACTATGCTTTTTCTAACAAGGAAAGGCAAATTCTCCCATTGTCAATTCAGGCCATAAATACATAATATACAGTTTTCTCAATATGATTGAAAATGAGGGTAGACAAAATTGTGCTTGTATGTTCATTCTTATTGCAAATCTAGTTACAATTTCTGAATAAACATCTCTAAAGCTACCACAGATTATTTACTATAGGTAGAAGTTTTTGGTCACTTCATAGGCTTTATTTCTTTCCATGAAGAAATGCCGACATTGCTGCATTTTGGACCAGTAACTGTAACTTCTATGTGCAAAATCAATCTCCTGCTTTATAGGCCAGCAACTGGCTCTTTAGCATAGTAATATTTATTTGTTTGTTTATTTATTTATCATATTTCTAAACTTTCTGTCTCCTTCAAAGAAAATGTTAAAAATATTTAGGAAGAGGCAAGAGTGATTAAATACTATTAAAATAAATTAAAAGGCAATGGGAGAGCTTTCCCCCAGCTGCATGCTTCTCTGTGCTCTCCCTGTGAGGTTGCAGAACCTCACAGGGAGAGTTTTATTTTATTTATTTATATCTGCCTTTATTATTCTACTCAAGGGAGTATCTAATGTTCCTTTATTGTCATTTTATAGTCCTCATAACAATAATTCTGTAAAGTACTCCGGTGGCCTAGAGGTGGAGCTCTCACCTCACAATCAGGAGGCTGTGAGTTCAATCCTAGGTAGAGTCTAATATTTGAATTTGATGATCCCCAAGGTCCCTTCCAATTCTGTTATTCTATGTACTTGGCCTTGCAGCCTCCAAAAAGTGTGAAAAAGCATTTCTGTTCTTCCCATGATTTTTTCTATGTGAGTTGATCTGATAGTGACTGGCCCAATGTCACTCACTGGCTTTCATGACTAAGGCCGGAGAATTGACTGCCTCCCAGTTTCTAGTCTGATGCCTTAACCACTAGACCAAACTGGCTTTTCAGAAGACCAGGAGTGTGGGGGTCTGTGTCATCTCTGGGAGAAGAATATTTGAGGGCGGGACGATGACAATAAGGCTCTCTTTCTAGGCCCTGCCAATCAGTGTTTGTTATAGGGTGTGTAATATATTGTTCCTGAAAGGAACAAGCTTGTTCTGACCTCATTACACTGTGTCTGTGTGCAGTTCGACATGCAGCTAAACTCACCTACCCTCCAATAAAAGACTTCTGGTGGTGACGTGTGGTCGAAGTGGCACGGGAGACAGTGCTCTGTCCCCTGTTGCCAATTTTCAGCTGTCCGGTGGCCGTCCGAGGTGAGGATTGTCCTGGGGGGATCGGTGAAGGAGAGGGGAACCTTCAGAGGTGAAATGGGAAGTGCAATCCCCAACTGCACTAGAGAAGGAGCCCTCTAATCTGGAGCTGAAAAGGCTGGTCTTGATGGCCGATCCAGAGACCTGAAGTCTCACAAGAAAGAAGAAGGAAGTGAAGAGGGAGAACGGTGCGCTGCAAGTGGTGGGAGCAAAGAAGAATGAAATCACAAGCTGTCAAGGTGTCAGTGATATTAATCCCAGAGGAGTGACAGTGAAAGCTCCGAGTGGCACACGAACAAGAAGAACAGAGAGGAGAGTGGAGAAGGCTGAGGATGAAATACGGAGCCAGAGAGGGCAAAGGAGAAAAAAATGAAGAACTGAAAGTAAGGACTGAAAGTAAACTGTGGGAAGAAGAGAAAGTGGAGTGATTAGAACAGAACGGTTGAACTTTTTGAGTTTCCTAAGTGATAACATTGTAACAGCAAAAGAAATAAAGAAGCAGGAAGAAGTACTAAGGAAAGAAGAGTGACAGTGCAAATTTGTCAAGACAGACATTTTGAAAGTGGAAAGGCAGATGTTAACTCTTTCAGTTCTTCGTTTACAGTGTCAGAGCTCCAACAAATCTATCCTCATCCAAATCAAAAGTCTTTAGCCGCATCTCAGAAAAAGTAAATTGGTTTATTAGAAATTGCTATGTTGGCGCATGGCTGGGTGCAGCCAATACTAAATCACATCATACATTTCCCCCTTGACCCTGGTCTTTCCCCCACCCCCTGGATGTGACTTCTGCAATAGGACACATCAGTCTCCAAGAGTCATCCACCATGCTCTCCAATAATCTTATGCTTTGACAACTTTGGGCTGCTGCGGTGATTATCTAGGCATTTCAAGAATGTCTTGTTTACCCCCACTCCCTTTTTCTGGCAGCTAAAAAGACCAAAGGAATATCTTTTTAGTTGACACACAGTTTTACAGTAAGATTTAAACAACTTGCCTGGAACTCTTTAAAATATACTTCAAAGAAGAAGAAGAAAGAACTTTGGAAGTAAATTTATCTTTGCTTAAAAGTTAATTCTTGGAGATTAAGTATAATACTTATATTTATATTTAAAATAACATTGATAAATCTTTTTCTTTTATAGCCATATTCTTAGTGATATATTTAAATTTATATAATATAAACTATATAACTATATATTGATTGAAATTTAAAGAAAGATACATATTTATAGTACTAGTGGTTGCTCTTTATTATGAATGAAGGATATAATTATAGTTAATTTGTAAGAATTGTATTGACTGAAATTTGGGGAAAGCTATATATTTATTCAGTATACTGATTTTTATTATTTTAGTAATTTTTCATTGATACTAAGGATTTACTTAAATTTAGAGCTATAGTTCTATATAACTGCATTGATAATTAGAGTGGAATAAATTAAGAAATTGATTGTATGTAATTAACCTATACAAGCTATTAACTAATCAACTAAGTATTTAACTATTTAATCTATTAATTAACTAACAGATAAAGGATATATAAGAGTATACAAAGTTAATATAACTGTTGTTATTGATATTGGGATTGATTTAGAAGATTGCATTGTTTAATTAATATTTGGAACAACTAGAATATAACACGATATATAAGATTGTAGATTACATTGTAGAATAAAGATAGATATAGAAGCTAGAACATTGAATGGTGGTGTGGGAAAAGATAGAAAGAATATTAGGAGAGTAATACAGAATATTACAAGAAATGACAAGCATCACGACTACCATGGTGAAAGCTGGGAAGAAAGTAACCCCAATGACAACTGCAGTGAAGCATCCCCGGCCACACAAAGATCAATAGAATAAATTTTTTCAACAGAAAAGTCAAACCCCACAATGAGTATACAGGCCATGCAGGCCACTTTATTATCAATACAAGAAATGATGGTGAAGCTACAGGAGAACATGATGAAAAACCATGGAGAGATGAAAATAGAAATGGAAGAGGTGAAGAGAGAAGTGAGGAATGACATACAGAAACTAGATGAGAAAGTGGGCCTAATCCAAGAAGCATTACAAAAAAATGATCAAAGATTAGAAATGATTGAGGAAAGAATAGAAAAAACAAAAGAAAAATTAGACCTGGTAGATTGGAAAATGAAAGGAAGTGGAAGTCTTACTGATCCAACTGGAAATGGACAGAGCCTCATTTTATCTGTGGTTCCAGAATGAGGTGGAGACAAAAGAGGAAGATTTGGCAATAATAATGGCCGAAATATTAGCGGAGGCACTCCAAAGAGATAAAGGAGAAATAATCAGTGGTTGGATGAGGTCTACCAAGTATATACAAATTACACCAGATGATATAGACTGCCAAAAGAAGTTCATGTCTGCTTTGCATGGAAAAAAGTGAGGGATATTATTTATAAAATAACCAGAAATGAGCCAATGTCCTATAAAGGCAAGGAAATCACCACTTTAAAACAAATCCTGGAGAGAGTACGTGAACAAAAGGGAGACTATTGTTTCTTAGTGGCCCTACTCAACAAAAGTAATGTACTATTTAGTTGAATAAGACCAGACGGAATGTTGGTGTCATGGCAGGAATTTTTTTTTAAAATAGATACCCTGGATAAAGCACAAGATCTCCATGACCAACTGGTAGCCACAGAAGAAACAGGCAGCAGTAGGGAGGAACTGGAGCCAACAAGTCTAGAAGACCAGCAACAGGAAAGGAAGGAGAAAGAACAGGAAGAAGAGAAGAAGAGAGAAGAAGAAGAACGTTTATTTATTTAGTCACGTTTATGTAGTGTACATTGGAGGTGGTGACCCTTTGAGAGCTGTATGCAACAAAATTTCATTTTAATGTATGCCTATTAGCATACATTCAAAGTGACAAAATTATTCTAAGTCTACTATCAGTAGAACTTATTACAAACTTAAAAGAATATATAAAATCTAAAATAATGGATGAAGGCTTGCAACAATTTACTTGTAAGAACAAGGTTTACTTCTCAGAGCCAAATCCAAATATCTTGTGTTAAGAACTAGGTAACTAATATGGAATGGCTTTTACATATTTACATAAAAAATTGTGGCTCCAGTTGAAATAATATTTTACTTTTGACAGTTTACTATATTGTATTAGATTTTTCTAACTCTGTATGCTGTCCAAAATTTGTAATGAGATAAGTGTCTTAGAAATCTAAATTCTAAATAAATACAAAATATAACTAAATCCAATTTCAGTATCTGGATTCCAAGGAAGTGGAAACCCAGAGTTGATTATAGTACAGATAGTTATATACATATTTTAACTAAAATAAATAAGGAAATAGACATGGTTCTCTGTATTTTGTGATTTATGGGCTCGATCCTTGCCTCAGCTAATCTTGTGAATTGCCATGGAGAAGGCAACGTACAGGTACATTGCCATAGAGGATTCAGACTGTAGTGAACTCATCTTGGAATAAGTAGGGGAGATGCCACCTGCATTGTAAGATGCCATTACTTATTTTTTTTGTCCTGCCCTCAAGAAGCTATCTCTTGACTATTGCAATTGTTGTATCTCCAACTTTATGTATCTAGGAAAAATTATTGAAAAACTATGGGGGGCTCTGGATGAAATGAATTATCTGCCTTTCAGCCAGGATTCACTGGAATAGAATGGATGGCAATCATACCGGTTGTTCTTCAGTATAATCTGTGGCAGGATTGAACATGGTATTCATCTAGTTTTTCTGAAAAGGTTCAGATAAATTGTTTTGTAGTTGGATCATTTTTTTTTATGTGGACAGTTGTTAAGATGTGGTCCCATAGAACTTGGTGCTCTTCCTCATATTGTTCAACATTTGCATGAAGCTGCTAAGATGTGTTATCCAGTAGCATGGGATTAGGTATCATTAGAATGCTAGTGATCATCCTGGCCCAAGTAGGAGCTGTATTGGAAGTCTTGATAGTGCCTGGCACTAAGAGAAATACAGCTAGGAGTAATCTCATCAAAATATAAGGATAGCTGATTTGGAAGCCATCTACCAATTCTGTCTTAGTTTCAGACAAAATTGTTCTTATCCTGAAGGAACAGGAATCTTAAGGCTTTGTTGGACTCAAAGTTGAAGACCAGGTGAAAATTCTGACTTTACACAGAACTGGTGTTCCAGTTACAATCTAATTCCTTGAATGGAAATAGCTGGCAATGGTCCCTCAAGCTTTGGCACTTCAGAATTATAATGCTATAATTTTCTCTTAGTGGGATTGCCCTAGAGACTATTCAAAGTTAGAATTGTTGCAGAATGCATCAGTTTGCTAGATAATGGGAAAGAGCTGTTACAGTCATGTAACACTTCTACTGTGGCAGCTGCTTTCCTTCCAGATGCAATTCACGCTGCTGATTATTGCTTATATATAAAATCCTACATGGCTGGGAATGTCTACTCCATTTAGAATCAGACATCTCAGTTTCATTTAGCAGAGAAGACATGCTGTGAACTCCAAGGACTAGTGGTAGGGTCTCCGAAATTATAATTCTCTGCTATCATTCCCTGTTTCGGGAGCACTTTGCTCCCTAAGATGAAGACATCCTCTTTCCTTGTGACATTTCAAAAGCTGTTTAATCATTGCTTCTCCATAGAACCTTCATGGACTGAATAATGGAGTACAATGGTTTGTATTTCTGGAACTGAAAGAAAAGTGCTATATAAACATTATATAGGTGCCTATACCTTCTATCTGATATGTTATGGATATTTTTTCATGTATTAATATATTAAGCTAGATGAGAATTGCATATTTATTACATTTATTATGCAGTA